AAATCTGTTGGAGTTTATATTGTGCCCCAACCAAATGTAACAAAAGCAGCGTTGAAAACTTCTTATTGCAACTTTTTAAAGATGGTTTAGTAGGTGAAGAGTTTACAGTTTCTGCCAAGGCTGCTTAATTTTAAGTATCATACAGATATAAGGCATTAATGATAGAACAGAAAGATATCCAATCCATTTGCCATGCTATGCGTAGTCAACTGAGTGCTAGCTTAAGAGAAAAATTAGCAAAAATAACGTTGATGTCAAGCTACGAAGAAAAAAATTGGTTACGATACTCAGAAAATAAGAGTAAAATATTTTAAAAACAATATATCGTTTAAGAGGCGCAGTGTAACCACTGCTATAAATTTGATGAAGGCAACTTATAATTCATTTGTGAAATTCGCAAGCGTTGGAGTATGCCAATAACAAAATAATTTCCAAAATTTTTAATGGGATGGAAGCGAACCAAAATAATGAGTAAAATGCGAATGTCCAATATTGGACCTATGTCCAGTTTTAATACGAATTTATGTATGTGCATTGAGTTAGTAAGATCAGATGTAGTCTGATATCTTTTAAAAATGCACTTCGAATTAATAATTTTATACCTATTATCATTCTGATAATTTAGCAGAAATCGAACTATGTATCAAAGTCAAATAGTATCAAACTACAAAAGCTACCATGTCGTTCGACTGCTGATGCAATCTCAGCTTGTAGAACATCAGCCAGATGACTGGCCCTTTGCTCGATTCGAGCGCGCAACTGAATTAAAGCGAGGTAAAAAGAAGGAGTCAGGCCACAGGGGTTTCCAGTATCAATGGCAGCCATAGAAGAAACACTTTGTTCACCATCAGTAAAACTAGTAGCAGGCCCTGAAATAATAGGTTTTCCAGTAGTTAAATGGTCGTGAAGGCTGGTATCAGGGGCGGTACCAATTCCGACGTTGCTGGAAGCATCGCAAATATGGCTGAATGAAAGACATGGCGCGATTTGAAGGGAATCTTCAGAGGTTAGAATCCATACAGCAGCAGGTTGAGAGACGTCACTGAAAGCAGCCCGAAGGAAATCGTCTTCACGATCTGACGAAGATAAAAATAGGAAGAAATGATGCAAAAATAGACTAAACATGAGTTCGTGTAGCATGGAGTATAAATGTAAAGTAATTAAATGGTATATAGAAAAAAAATCTTTTAGAGATGGGGCTTAAGTAATTGCTTAGTAAAAGAATCAGATGTTTGTTTAACGTTTAGTGGATTTGGGTTACATGACTCTAGAAAGTCCAGTGCTGAGAGCTACAAAATTAGCTA